TCTTTTCACATAGACAATACTTTTTTTAATCAAAAGGGAAAAAAAAGTGAGGATGACTTTACATAAATTGGAGCTTGTCTTGTATCATTTCAATTTCAAAATTTGTAAATAAATCTTATGAGAGATCTTCTTAATTCAAGTCTAAGATAGCATCCCTTCCAAATATTAGACCAATCAGTTTCTTATCATTATTAAATATTAGACTATCAATAAAGAAGTTATTGAATTAAAATTGATGTAATAAGTAAACAAATCAATTATTAAAAAAAAAATATAATGGCTACATCATAATAGAAGAGACAAAGGAATTAATTGATATTGTAGTAAAGCCTCCTCACAACTTATTTTCCTTGCGAAAGTATTATCTATGTATGAAAAGAGAAGAAAAGAGAAATTTATATATGTGTAAAATATATATATTCATTTTAATAGTGAAAAGTTTAATAAAGTTGAATGAGGCATGTACAAGATTGTTTTTTTAATTTTCAGTCATTCCAGAAAAAAGTTACTGTGAGTCACGTTTTAGCTGTAAAATATGCCTCAGAGTAACGAATTATAAAACGTTACTGACAATAACGTTTTATGTCTATTTAATCTGTCAGATTTTTATCTTTTTGTTATTGAATTTTTTAAAATTAAATGTAACCTAAAATGTTACTGTGAACTACATTTATACTAGTTTTGTAAAAAAAAATTTAAAAAGGTATTATTTTGATAAATTAATTTTAATAATGACTTACTTTGATAAAAAAAATCGTAAAAACATGCATCAACTAGGAAAGATTTTTAATCTCATTGTCAAAACTCAAATGCAAGATGTTTAGTTAAAGGTGGAAGACCCTTTTGATTCTATCTCATCTTGTTATCATGTTTGCTGGTTGTTACAAATAAGTTAACCACTATTACAAATACTTAGGGTGTGTTTGGTATGAAAGAAAATCATTTTCCGAAAAATGTTTTCCAATTTTCTCATGTTTGGTTGGGTTAAATGTTTTCCAAATCAACTCATTTTCCTCAAATTTAAGGAAAATGAATTCCCTTCAAAACTTAAGGAAAATATTTTCCAAAACACTCTTTCAACTTTAAACTACAATTACTTTTTTGTTGAAAAAATCAATTTATTTT